ACTTGTGACATTTCAATAAAGTTCTAACAAAAAAGTAAAAAGAGTTGCGATGCGCCGGGATCGGTGCATCAGCACTGTGTCTGGGAACAGACTCCGGCAGCTGTGCGTTGCAACGCAGTTGCCAGTGTGAATGCAGCCTAAATGACGGACTGTAGTGCAGGCTAGGACTGAGTGACCGTTCTGTCTGGACTGCGAGTCGGACCTCGGCTTGAAGGAAATTTTGGTGACCGGACATATTTGGAATTTTAATTCACTACCCCTGATATAGAAGAAAACTGCTTCTAATATAAAATGAGATAAAAGAACCCAGCAAGTATTATTCCCCGAGGACAAATACTAAAATTGGAGCAGCTGGGCACAGTAACCAATCAGATTCTAACTTCCCTGGATTAATATGTCGGCTGAAGAGGCTTCTTGCTTCATGGAAACATCATAACATATCCTGGAAAGGTAAAATCCATGCCATCAAAATGACTTATTTACCGAAACTTTTATATTTTTTTAGTGTTCTGCCTGTTCAGGTGCCGGCCCGTATTCTTCGTATCCTGCAAAGGGATATACTCCATTATATATATATGGGGGCATTCTCGCCCTAGGCTCAATAGGCAGATCCTTTACAGGTCTATACTTCGGGGCGGATTGGGGTTTCCTTATCATCCAAATTATTATGAAGGGGAAACAAATTGTTCCACTTGCCCTTCTGTCCGCACGAAGCATTGGATGCGGTGGATTCTCATCCTATCCAGGTCTCCAACCTACCCTGGCACCCACCTTCCATCCGCCCGTTGGGATTAAGCCCGATTATCTTGCATACCTTGAAAGCTTGGGACTAAGTTCAATATTCTAGTAACTTGGCTTCCCCTCATCTTCTTCTTTCCCTCACACAATGCCTGTTATTTCTCCCTGTTATGGATTGCCCTGACCATTTTTCTTGGTGCAATAATGCTGGCTTTTGTGGTATCCACTCTCTTCTATTTGCTTGCGTGGTGCACTCTTTAATCCATTTTCAATCATCATATGCAGTGCCTTTATCAGAATCTTTTCGTTATCTCCAATTACAGCACTTCACCCTTCCGCTCCTTCAGCACCACTCCCCTCTTTGGATTTGAGTATATGTGCTATTTAATACAATCTTAGGTTGTAATTTACTTAAAAATCCATGCGAGGCCTTATTGCATAAGCCGGTACCTGGGATAACGAAGCGTCAGCAGACCCTGATTGCTCATATTTGTATGGCTACTAAACAAACTATTGCCAAATCTTGGAAGTCCTCGGCTCTTACCTTCCCGGCAGTGAAGAATAGAGTCACCAATACTATGGTCAATGAAAAATTATCAGCAATTTTAGCTGAATCATGGTAAATTCTTAAAAATCTGGGAACCTTGGATGTCCTACGCTAGCCCTCATTATATTGATGCTACCTTAGTGTCCTCTCCGTTATGAAGGATTATCTTTTAGGATGTTCCTCCTCCGACCTCTTGTTTCTTGTTCCTCTTCTAATTCCTAAACTGGGTCTTTATATTCCTTGTTACTACTCTCTTTTTCCATTCGGTCATATTTTTCCATCCGTAGTTATTTCTTCTCTCCGTTACCTACTGGGGAGAATTGTAGGTGCCCCCTCCCTACATTTATTCTGACTGAGAGGTTGGTGGTTTTATGTCTCCTAAGTCTAATTTTGTGACGGACAGTATTTGAGGAACGTTGCATAAGGCGATAGGGCTTGGAGGGCTTGGAGTAACGTACCGGATACCTGCAGGGTTACTGATTTTGTTTTCCCTTCACCTATCATGGTATAAAATATTCTACTGTATTCTCGTACATGCCATTGTACATGTCATTTTTGTTAACATTTGACTGTTGCGGCGTCTGCATCCGCTTACTGACCTTATTATATGTTCTGCTACGTGTTCTTTAAAAAACTAATAAAAAATGTTTGAAAGAAAATGAAAGCTGGATGGATGATGATTGGTTGCCATCCACAGCTGCTCCAGTCTTAGTAAATTTCCCTCATTGAATCTTTGCGTATTTGCCGCACGTATCCATTGGGATACAGCCAGGTAGCCCTTGGAAACGAGCGTTTGTCACACGTTTTTTTACCGCGAGTCACGGTAAAAACGCGCGCCACGAAGTCTGGAGTACCTCCGACACAGCCGCCAGAGATGCAATGAAATATAACATTAAGGGCTTGTTAACACGACATCCGGATTCTGTGCCGATTCTGTACGCTCTTGCACTAAAAATGCATCCCAATGCATCTCTATGTGTTTTATGGGCTACAGTTCTCAGGTGCGCAGTCCGTTCAGGTCACGACAGAAAAAATACTGCATGACACATTTTGTCCGGTAACGCACGAACGCGTCAAAAACGCAACGAAAACGCGCCGAAAACGGACTGCACTGCAGCTAAGCAAAAAAAAAAGTGAGCTCGCAAATCCTCATAAACTCCAAAACTGCCCCATGGAGTCCCTGAGCCTCAAGATCGGGTGTACCCAATAACGACGTCTCCTGTGAGCTCGTTCTCTGCAGATTGCTGTAGCCAGCACCATCAACATATCTGCAAACGTGATACATGTCTGATCACCAGCTTTTTTTTTTACTTTAATAGTTTTTTTATTTTAAGATTACATAACAAACATTTTACATCAACAATTACATATTAACCACCTTACGTCCATGGCCGTTTGTGAACGGCCAGATGGACGTCTGCTCAGAGCGGTAGGGCGTCTTAAGACGTCCTGACCCTCCCCCCTCTCGTATGCGCGCTGAGCGCTGCACACGAGAGGGAAAACCGTCAGCATGTAAACAGCCTCACCAGCTTTACATACACAAAAGGGAAGTGGTTGTTACAAGAGGGCGGAAGGGACCTCAGAGAAATAATCTGCATACTGACAGCGCCACGGCTTAAAAAAAAAAAAAAAGAACTGTCAGCGCCCGGACCGCGGTAAAACCGCACTGCATGCAGAGCACCGCATCTGCAGATCCGCACCGGAAAATCGTGTGAACAAGCCCTTAGGCCTTGTTCACACCAAGCGCGGAGTAGGTGCAGAGCAGATCAGTTGCAGACCGGATCAAAACTGCGTCCAATGTATTCCAATGGTATTTTTTGCTCCAGTTCACATCGCAGCGTGCAGTTCCACAGCAGGTGAAAAAACTGCAGCAAGCCCTATTTTACCTGCTCTGGATCTGCAAACGCATCAAAAACGCATGCAAATGCCTGGAACGCACTGAAAGCCCATTTTAAACTTAAAAAAAAAAAATTGTTTTGTTAGCCAAAAACGCATATAAAAGACTAGCGTGCGTGTGCAGAAACCTGACCGGATCTGCTCTGCATTTGGTGTGAACAAGGCCTTAGGAATACTTTTAGATATCAAGAGATGCGCGAATCCTGTTGCCCGACACCTGAGACACATGCAGTTCCGTGCGCTGGGCAGGTGTTTTTTTTTCTACATTTAGCCCAAGCAGCAGGGTTAAAGTTTGTTTTTATACCTTAACCTCTTTCAGTCTGCTATGACGGCATGGAACGTCTGTGCTGCCCAGCTCTCCCGTCACAGCCGCAGCTAGGGGAGGGAACGTATTAGCAGGTGAGCCGCCGCTTGTTTTGTACAAGTAATCTGGGTGACAGTACAGCCACCCATATGACTTGTAGCAGGCTACTTGGGCAGCAGCGCTTTCTAAGATGCACAATGGGGGGGGGGGGGGGTTTTTGAGGCGGTTTGTGAAAAA